CATAACAAATGAAATTATGTTCATAAGTTATAAATAGTACAACTAATTGTAAATTTCATATAATATATTCCTACAAGGGATAAAACAACTTTTACCTCTCAAGTTTGTCCTAATTATTAATTTTATGTCTAAAGTTTTATTTTTTCATAATTTAGTCTCTTAAATTTACTTTAGTTATTAATTTGGCCCTTATTCTTAAAAAAATGAGGTAATGCTATTAAAATTGGCCAACATGAATAACAAAAAATTAATTATAGTGATGTAGACTAATGAAAAGAAGTATAATTATTTAGATGAAAAAAAGGAGATTTTAAATTTTTAAAAAAAGAAATAAAACAAAACATAGTGTAAGGGATTGTATTATGAAAGAAATTAATTTATTTTTATTTAATGATATATACATGCCAAATCATCAATATGTTCTACACATTAGATTATTTTGATAGTTAATTTGTGTTTTAAAATTTAAATGAATCATAATAATTTTAAAAAATATAAAAGATTAAATAATAAAAATTAAATTAATAAGTGAGATAAACTCAAAATATTGAAAGTTTTATTATCAATATATATATATATATATATAAAAATAGAGAAGCATGAGGCGGGCCATTAATGAGACAACTGTGCTCATAGGCGGCCACGTGTTTGACACAGATCATTCGATGAATGACACTTCAAATATAATTTGATTAGTTGGTCCTACGTAAGCTAAACATGGAAAAGTACCCTACGGTCACTGGAAGAAAGACGTCTCTTTTCGTGAGTCATGCAATGTTTCTCCGATTTTTCTTCGTTTTTTGTAAATCCAAAACCTGTGATTGAAATTAAATCTCCTTTCATTGCCAACAATCTCTTGCAGTACAATTATTTTGGATATGCTTAGCTGCCTTGATACTGACCCGAATTGGTGGCAACGAATTGGTCCTGATTTTTTTTTATTTTGTGTTTTTTAAAAATATATTTTAATGGATATGTAATTTAAAACAAAGATAATCATCTTACGGTCATTTTTAGAAAAAAAACAAAATTATTGACTAAAATTATAGATTTAAAACTTTAAGTCTGAACCATTTAAAATAAATCTGGACAATCTAAATGTTGTTATAGTGATAAGTGTTTATTATTGAGCCCAAAAACCATTCCCCTGATAGAGACCACATATTTTCCAATTCACCGCGTGCACGTTTGCAAATACTTGTCTAATTACAATCCATATTCAATTAATCAATTTAAAGTAATTGTGACTTTAAAATTTTAGTTTCATTTTAAAATAAAAATATCAATTATTTTTGCAATAATTTGTATGGGTAATTGTTTTGATTATGGCTCAAATTTTTATAATCTAATGTAATTATTTTTATTTATTATCTTGGTTTAAAATTTATTATATATCCATCATATTTATAATTAAAATTTTAGAAAAATTATTTATTATCCAAATTAATATTTTTATATTTTTTTAAAAAACTCTCTCTCTCTCTCTCTCTCTCTATATATATATATATATATATACACATACATATAAAAGATGCTTTAAAGTTAACCAACTTGAGAAAATAACCAAGGGAGTGCTACGTGTTATTGCTTATTATTGACTGTGCATTGAGGTGACAAGCACTGCTCTTGTTCGGACAAGTTAGAACCACATTAATACAACTGTAGTTGTGTTTGTAGGTTAAATTAGAAGAGAGACTGGCTAGCTAGTATAATTTGCGCTTTACTGTACATTTCATTCAATCATAAAAGGTATTATTCAAAATATATAAATAGTGAATCTTCTTTATTCTAAAAATTGAATGTGGATTGAGTGAGTATCTCATCCATCATGTGGTGCTGTAGAGATTGTAGATTCAATGAAAATTTTGTTTATTTAAAAATGAAGGGAGTTTTTTAAATTGATTGCGTTAATTAGGATAAAAATGGAAATTTTTTCAATTTTAAGGTCATTTTAATAACATGAATTTTCTTATTTTAATGAGGCAGTTAAAAGTGAAATACTTTTGAAATCAGGGGCGTAATTAATTACACCCTTTCTTTCGAGGCTCCAACTTCCAACGCATGCGTGTAACGTTTTTTGACGTCTTTAAACAGTCGTTTATCTTTTTCTTTAATTACTCAATTTATAATCAAGCTCTGTAACTTTTTTGTTCTGAGTAAAAAATTTAATTACTTACTTTCTCTCTATTTACTTGAAAAACTGTATAAACTATTATTTATAATTAAGGAAAAAAATTCTTTTTTGGTGAAAAAGAAAAAAAAATTCTTAAAAGCAGACAAATTAACCATTAACAACTAGTTAATTCCATAAATATTAGATTATCTAACTGTCCATCACCCCAGTTTGTCTACAACATATTTTTGGAAACGAAATTTTATTAAATATAGGGCTTTTGCCAGGTTCTTTGATCATACTTATATCATAATAATAGGAATTCTACTTGTAAAATCAACATAAAATATTTATTAATTACAATGTTTTCCTTATAAATTACTTCTCATCCGTCAAATATTTACCATTCAATATAATGGTTCAAACTTTCTCTATATCTTTTTTTTTTTTACCATAGTTTGTCTATTTTGAGCCCTCTTGGAGATATCTAATTTTATACATAATAAAATATAATAAATATCACTATTCATGTAACAGTGAAATCAACAGTGTTATGGAGCTCACCATTGCATTTTCTTTAAATGCAATTATTTTTTCTCAACTTTTTTTACAATATTATTTTTTTTTGCTTTGCTTATATTTTTTTCATTTGTTAATTATATAACACTATTACAAAAATTTAGATATATAACAGCATTTATTCAACGGTTATAATAAAAAATGTTATATATTGGGAGGTGGGAAAGAGAAAATTACATATTAAACGGTTATTTAAAAAATTGTTTAATATTGTATGATAATATTCAACGGTTTATTAATATAACTGTTAAGTATATAAGGATATTACACTCCACCTCTTACTCAACAGTTAAAATTTAAAAACCGTTGAGTATTGATTTAAATATTAAACAGTTATTAAAATTAAACCGTTAAATATATATACTACTTGAGTCAATTCATTTTTATTTTTTTAATATCTTGATACTCAACATTTATTTGGATTTAAACATTGATTATATATATATATGTATAGCAAAATAATATATTATATATATTATTCAAATTTATTTTTTTAGCAATATAATATATATATATATATATATTATATAATATTAGAATATATATTTTAGCAAAATAATATATATATATATATTATTCGAATATATATAATATTAGAATATATATTTTTTAGCAAAATAATATATATTATATTATATATATAATATTAGAATATAATATATATATATATATATTATATTACCCAACGGTTATGTCAAATAACCGTTGAGTATTTGATATTAATACTCAACGATTTGACATTCAACCGTTGGGTATATCAATATATTCAACGGTTAGAAATATCTAACCGTTGAATATATTGATTTCTAAAGCTTCTTCCCTCCGTCAGCGAAAATGAAAAGCTATCACAGGGATGCGTGTGAGAGTGAGATGAGAGCAGAGCAAACCCATTTCTTCCAAGACCCAAATTCAGCCAACACTCATTTCCTCTAAGCATCAGCACAGTTGCAAGCAAAGAGAGTCAGAGAGCCATTTTCGGTCAGTAACAGTCGCCACCCATTTCCTCTATTTTCCTCTTCCTCAGAGACCCATTTTCAGCCAAACCCTGTTCCTTTTCCTCTTCCTCGTCAGCTCCTCTTCGTCTTGCTCTTCCTCTTGCTCTTCCTATTTCTCTTCTCAAGAGTAGGTGAGATACGTTTATTCTCGCTCTCACCATTGACCAGCCCTCAATCCTCCTAGTCCGCCATCTACCCCTGAAGTTGTCACTATCTCATCCTTTCTTCTATCAAGAGCAGCCTCACACTATTATTTTGTGATTTTTAAGGTATTTCTCTATCTCATTTGCTATCTCATTGTGTAAAGGAAGCTTCTGAGGTTGATAACGTTGATTTTTTAACTTAGAATTTAGATTAACTAACTGGATTGGTTTGAGTTTGTGACAATTTGCTGGGCTGTGTTGAGATTTAATTGTGATATTTTGTTGATTGATTTTATTGTTTCATGTCCCTAGTAGTTTGTTTCTACGAAAGACAAGAGAGAAGATCAGAGTGTTTGGTTAGCTTTTAATTATTTAAATTTGGTTTAATATATGGTGGGGCAACCTTGAATAAAATTTAATAAACATGTTTTTCATTTACATAAACTAATTTTTTAAGATATTTAGTTTTGGACAAAATTTAGTAAATGTGTTTTTGAGATAAAATAATTTTTTTCAATATATGGTTAGCTTGTGATTATTGAATATTCAGTTCAATGTGTGCTAGGTTGTGATTATTTAATTTATTAAGATAAATTAATTTTTTATTAACAATAAGATATATGTCTTGACTTAGTAGACATGTTCCTTGTCACTTTTACCCAATGCTTTTCAATTTGTTCTTAAATATTGTATTTTTCTAGTTATTTGATTCCTTTTTTCCCCCTATTGAGCTTGGAAACTGGACTTGTTTCTTTATATATTATAGTTATTATATTACATGATTGCTTAACCTTTTAGTTGTAGTAGTATTTTATTCTAAAATTGACCTAAGATTGATCTATGTATATGTTGATTTGAAATTTTTGTTATTTTAATATTTGATTTGTGAAAAGAGGGCATTAAGCCTGGGAAGTGCTCAATTTCATGCCGTTATGCTGCCGAAATTTTTTTAAATTTTTATTTTGTGATTATTTAGAACAAGTTTGAGCTTTCTTTGAAGTAGTTTAACATTTAGTTTGATTAAATTAGTATAAATAGAGAATAAGGCTTGAGGAACATTGAATTTAAGCCGCCATGCTGCTAAAATTGTCTAAATTTTTAAAATAATCAACTTGTACTTACTGAATGCTTTTCCATCTTTATTATCTTACTTAAACAAGGGCATTAATTATGGATAAGGAGTGGATGTCTGCTAACCGTCTATCCAAAGAATATTGGGATGGGGTGGCAGACTTCATTAAGTTTGCAGTAAATAATGCAGAAGACTGCAGGCGAATTGTTTGCCCTTGTTTAAGCTGTGGTAATGTGAAGTCAGTTTCTCCTGAAACATGTGAACTTCACTTATTTAAGTATGGAATTGATCAAAGTTATAAATGTTGGGTAAAGCATGGAGAGATACCTGAAGATGTGAATAATAGTAGCTGGGCATATATGGAAAGTTGTTCATCATCACCAGATTCTGACACAAGCGCATATAAGGCTAACTGCTGTTTTGAAGAATTAGCTAATGAGATGGAAGGGGAACTCAAAAATTTTCCAGAGAAATTGGAGAAGTTGAAAATTGATGCGGAGACACTTTTGTATGAGGGTTGTACTGAGTTCACTTTATTGTCTGCTGTGTTAGAATTGTACAACTTGAAAGCTACAAGTAGGTGGAGTGATACTAGCTTCTCAAGCTTGCTCTCTCTAATCAAACTAATGCTACCAAAGAATAACAAGCTTCCAAGTCGGCTATATGATACAAAGAAGGTGTTACGCACAGTTGGCCTGAGTTATAAGAAGATACATGCTTGCCCTAATGATTGCATCTTGTTTAGGAATGAATATGAAGAGTTAACCCACTGTCCTAAGTGTGAGGCATCACGTTATATGAAGAATGGGAAGAGTCCAAAGAAGGCGATGTGGTATTTTCCTATTATTCCAAGATTCAGACGCTTGTATAACATATGTCAAGAGGTAAAGAATCTAACATGGCATGCACATGGGAGAATTAAAGATGACAAGGTTCGGCATCCAGCTAATTCTCCTGAATGGATAAGGTTTGATTGGAAGTACCCTGAGTTTGGAAAAGAAGATAGGAATTTACGTCTCGTATTGTCTACCGATGGGATGAACCCGCATGGAATGCAGAGTAGTACCTACAGTACATGGCCTGTGATGATGGTCATTTATAACTTGCCTCATTGGCTTTGCATGAAGCGAAAGTATATTATGTTGTCCTTGCTAATCTCAGGGCCAAAGCAACCCAGAAATGATATAGATGTTTATTTGGAACCACTTATTGAAGACTTGAAGCTAATGTAGGAAACAGGTGTAGAGGTATATGATGCCTACAGAGAAGAGATATTCAATTTGAGAGCTATGCTTTTTGGTACAATTAATGACTTTCCGGCGTATGGTAATCTATTGGGATATAGCATTAAAGGACAACTTGGATGCCCTATTTGTGAAGAAGGCACATATTCAGTGAGGTTGCAACATGGTATGAAGAATGTGTACCTTGGGCATTGCAGATGGTTGGGTGACAAGCATCAATATCGTCGTTGAAAAAAATCGTTTGATGGGAAATCAGAAGAAAGAAGGCCACCAAAGCAATTGACTGGTGAGGAACTATTTGAGAAGGTAAAAGATATTGATATTGAATTTGGTAAACCGTTTGCGAAGCATGTTAGAACAAATGGGTGGAAGAAAATGTCTATATTCTTTGAGTTGCCATATTGGAAGACCTTGAATATCAGACACTTCCTTGATTTAATGCATATTGTGAAAAATGTTTGTGATAGTCTTATTGGAACATTGCTTAATATTCCAGGAAAGACCAAGGATGGCATTAATGCAAGGTTAGACATGGTTGTGATAGGGATAAGAGAAGAATTGGCACCACAAGAGAAAGGAACTCGTACATTTCTTCATGCTGCGGCTCACACACTGTCTAGAAAAGAAAAGAAAAGTTTCTGTGAGTTTCTTGCTGCAATTAAGATTCCAGATGGGTACTCTTCAAATGTTAGAAATCTTGTTTCAATGAAGGATCTAAAGCTAAAGGGTTTAAAGACTCATGATTGTTATGTTTTGATGGAGAATTTTATTCCAGTGGCTATACGTGGTATTTTACCTGATAATGTGCGAGCTACAATTACAAAGTTATGTTACTTCTTCAAGTGTCTTTGTAGTAAAGTAATTAACCCCAACAAGTTGCCAAAGTTGCAAAGTCAAATTGTGCAAACATTGTGTGAGATGGAGATGTTTTTCCCTCCTGCATTCTTTGATATAATGGTCCACCTAACAGTTCATTTAGTTAGAGAGGTACAATTATGTGGTCCTGCTTATTTGAGATGGATGTATCCATTTGAGCGTCACATGAAAGTATTGAAAGGTTATGTTAAAAGTCGAAGTCGACCAGAAGGTTGCATTGTTGAACGATATATTAGTGAAGAGGCTGTTTACTTTTGCAGTCAATACTTAAAGAATTCAAGGGTTATTGGTGAAGAAGGTATAGAAAGGATAACAGGAAGAAAAGTTATCACTATCTCAAGTGACCAGTGGGAAAAAGTATACCTTTTTGTGCTATATAACTCTCCAGAGGTTGATGAGTATGCTAAGATTCACCAGGCAGAGCTTAAGAGGCAGAACCCTTATCGATTAGATAGTTGGATCACCAAACTACATAATAAACAATTTATACGCTGGTTGAAAGAGCATATAGAAGGGAAGTATAATCTGATCCTAATTCAGTTCCTGATAGACTGAGATGGTTATCACTAGGACCGAACAAACATGTCCTCTCTTATGCGAGCTATATCATCAATGGGTACAAGTTCTACACAAAGGAACACGACGATCGAAGCATGATGCAAAATAGTGGTGTATCTACTATAGTTGATGGCATGCATATTTCCAGTGCGAAAGATAAAAAAGCCATCTATGCTAGAATGCGTTACTTCGGGATAATTGAGCATATTTGGGAGTTGGATTATATCTCCTTTCGAGTTCCAGTCTTTGGTTGCAAGTGGGTTGAAAATAATAATGGGTTAGATGTCGATGACTTTAGGTTGATTAGAGTGAATCTAAAGAAGGAAGGGTATAAAGAAGATCCTTTCATTTATCCGTCTCAAGCCAAACAAGTTTTTTATGTCAATGATCTTGCTGATAAGGAATGGTCTGTTGTTTTGTGGAGTAACAAGAAAGTTAAAGAAATGGAAGCTGTAGAAAGTGATGAAAATGAGCAAAACAGAAAAAATGATGAAGTTGATATTGATCCGTTTCATGGGACATCATTCGAAAATGATGATGGCTTAGACAATATTGAAGATAGTGCTTTCTACGTAAGACATGATCACAATGAGGGCATTTGGATTTCTAAGAAGGAGAAATCAATTCAACTGAAGAAGAAAACTGTTCAAAGTTAAGAAAGAATTAGTTAAAAAAGTAATTAGGACAAGAAAAAGGAAAAGAACGAAATAAATAGGTAAATGACTATTTTTGACTTACTTTTTGATATTTTTTATTTAATCTTGTTAAGATGTTGCTCTTGTTTGAATTATTATTGTTTTATTTAATCTTAATTATTGATGTCTTCACAGGTAAATGGCTACTAAGGGTGATCGTCTAGATACTGGATCTAAATCTAGTAGTCCTAGTAAGCAAAATGATGATAGCGGGCAAAATGTGACTAATAAGGGGGAAGAACAACTAAAGAAGGGGTTGGTTGTGATGGAGCAAGTGACAAAAGTAAGAAATGAAGGCAAGAAGTTTACTGTCAAGTGGAATAATAGAAATCAAGTAGTTGACAGTAATAATTTCATCAGTTATATCGGGGTGGCGGCGAAGTCCTGTGTGCCTATCAATTTAAAGTCATGGAAGAATGCAACTCCCGCAATGAGGGATGCTGTATGGAATACTATAACGGTAAGATATTATCACTTTGATTATTATTTTAAACTTGTTTATGATATATATTCTTCTTACAAGTTGACTTGTTTATTTTGTAGTCAGGATTTGAGATTGAGGAAAGGCGTAAGAAGTATGTCCTACAAAAGGCCGGGGCAGCCCTTCGAGCATTTAGAAGTTTTGTCTCTCGTAAATTCTTGTAGAACCCCGATATAAAGGGCATTGAAGACATAGTTCCTCCCCTTATTAGGCCAATTGTAAATTTGAATGAATGGAAAGATTTTGTTGACTCACGCCATAGTCCAGAGTTTAAGGTATTATTTTTGTTATTCTATCAAAATTTTATTGCTTTTGTTGGCATTTATTTTAACTTATTTGTCATGTTTTGTGTTTTTAAAGGTATTAAGCACCAAAAACAAAGAGTTGGCGAAGAAGAATGAATACACTTATAAGGCTGGGCGTAAGGGGTATGCGGGTGTTGAAAAGGCCTTGATTGAAAAAGAGCTGATGTCAGAGGGTTCTATATCTCGTGGTAAAATTTGGGCCGAGGCTCGAAAAAACAAACAAGGCAATATTGATAATCCAAAAACAAAGGCGATTGTTGATACAATAGTAAGTGTTAATAATATAATGTTATTAATTATTTATTTTTACTCATTTACCTTACTTTTATTGGTTCACAGGAGAGCTTGACTCAGGAGGCATCAGCAGGCACTCTTACTACTGATGAGGATATCTTGGAGAAGGCATTGGGAATATTGACCATCCTGGTCGTGTTCGAGGCGTCGGCTTTGGTGTCACAAAGAAAGAATACTTTGGAAAGGGGTACAAGCGTTATAAAAAGACTGCTTCTTCTGCTGAGGTTTAAGAACTAAGGCAAGAGCTAGCAGAACAGAAGCAACAGATACAAGCACAGTCACAGCAGATACAAGAGCAATCTAGACTTATTGACATGCTGTTGAATCGGCATAAGTTAGGGCTTCCATTGAGTGACGCTAGCCCTAGTATGAATGACAGTTGCACAATCCCATCTCAGCTCCTACCTGAGGTAATATTATTAATTTTCCTAGCCTTATTCATGATAATATTATTCATATTATGTAATGATTTTGTCTTTTTAGGGTGAGGCTGATGTTGATTGTTTGGAAGAGGATGAAAGTTTGGTTGCACTGGGACAAATGTACAATATTGCTGGCCAAATCATGCTTCACAGTGAGATTCTCCCTGAAGGGACAGTCAAGGTTTCTTTGAAGACGGCTGAAAAGCCTAATTATGATCTACCTCACCCCACTAAAGATGCAAGGATAGTAGTAGATGCAATTGGAAGCTTTGTAGCATGGCCGGTTCGTCTTATACGTATTTCAGCGCCGTCCCCAAAGGTATAATATCTAAATTCATAACTGAAATTTATTTGTAGTTGATCTCTAACTATGTGTGTGTGTGTGAGAAAAACTAGCCTGTTGATAAGCCTGTGGCCAAGAAAGCACCAGAGGTTATGAAGGTACCAGCGAATAATAAGCGGAAGAGGGGAAATGATAAGAACTCTGCTGAAAAATCCAAGGAGTCCATCACATTTCCCAAGAATGCATCGAAGGTTCTCCCTCAAACCCATGTGCCTAAAGCCTCTCAATCAACACCTCAGCGTCAACTAGTCACACCCGACAAACACTGAAAGTTGCTTAAGACTTATGCAGAGACGCAAGAAGGAGTAATGCTCCCTTTCCCTACAACAATGTATGGAGATCCAGAGTCTGTCGATCAAGTCAACAATGAGGTTTTGAGTGACTTATTCAACCATGCACAGGCTACTACTACTTTGTGTAACTTATATATGAGGTATGTTTCTAAAACCTTGTATTAAATATTTACCAATATCTATATTTTAGTCATTTATTGATCAATTTATGTTGACATTATTTAAGAAACCTGTACATCACCATGCTTGCCGGGAGAGATGTAGCGGAGAGGGTTATACTCGTCAATCCCTACTTGGTCTCTCCTTATGGCCACGAGACAATGAGTCCTAAGCAAGGATTAGAAATAGCTCAGAAGCTTTCTGAATACTTCGACCAACGTGGCGCTAATAAGAATAAAATATTCATGGCACCTTATTGTGAAGGGTAAATCATTTTACGATACTTTACTTTCTCCAAAATTAAATTATGAAACTTCCTAATTGTAATCATTATCATAGGGGGCATTAGATGATACTTGTGATCAATCCAACTATAGGGAGAGTATGGTATCTCGACCCTATTAGAAGTGGTGATCCTACCAACAGACCGCATATAGTAGAGATGATTAATCAGTAAGTTCACTAAGTTTTGTGCATATTGTGTGTGTGTGTGTGTGTGTGTGTAATTCATTCTTCTTATATGCATATTTCTCACGTCAACTTTTCTGTTGCATGTTAGAGCCATTGTCATGTACCGCACTAAGGTCAATCAGCAATCTTGACAACTAATAATGGGTAGTGGTCGCCTTGATAAAGCAACATCATGGACAATTATCAAGGTATATGTATTTATTATTTATAGTGTATTTACTACATAAATATAAGTTATATCATGTCATTAACTGATCATATTTTTTTATCCAATGTGTGATCATAGTGCCCGGAACAACATGACAAAGCTAGGGATTGTGGGTACGCTATCATGAGATATATGAAGGATATAATTCAACACGCTCCTATGGGGACTCTTCCAAACAATGTATATATATTATCAACCTTCTCTTCATTATTTAATATTTTCAATAATTAATATGACTTTAGTTTGTTGTTTTTGCAATTAGTACTACGAGGACGCATATTGTGACACATTTACTGAGGCTCAAATAGAAGAAGTCCTTGAAGAGCTAGCACGTGGCATTTTTCAAGCATGGTTTAGCTATAACAACCAGCAACAGTGAAGGAATAGATGATGTTGGTATATATTTAAAGTTGACATACATATAGTTATACCTACTTAGTCTATTTTTTGAGATATGAAGCTTTATTTTGATCACTTATAGGTTTAATTTAAGCTAGTTAAAATTATACATAGCTTATGTAGTAATGCACCATGTAAATTTCATCATTTTATGTATAGGATAATATTGTTGGGTGTTGAAATTTTGTTATGGGTATGCTGGATATTGTATTTGTAAATGTTTAATGCAGGGGATTGTTAGAAATGTAAAACATGTATATGAAAAAAGTAACCCAAAATATTCAACGGTTATATCTAAAAACTATTGAATAACTTGCACTATATATTCAACGGTTAAATTTTTAACCATTGAATATATTAAGAATATGCAACAGTTTTTCAAAAAACCATTGCATATCAGTTATATATTCAACGGTTAAAATGTATAACCATTGAATATACTAAGAATATGCAACGATTTAAATAAAAACCATTGCATATTTTCTTGTAGTTATTTTAAAAAAAAATCCAACAGCCATATATTCAACGGTTTTGAAAAAAAAAACTGTTGAATAAAAGTAAAATATTCAGCGGTTAAAAACCGTTGAATAAAGGTTTAAAGAATATTCAGCGCCTGATTACTCAACAGTTCATAACTGTTGAATATTATCTAAAATAACCGTTGAATATTATTATTTTTATAGTAGTGTAATATTTTTATGATATTATACTCACATAGTTTATATTTATATAATTTTCAAATCATTTTTTAATTTTTTTACAAGTAATGAGTTCAAAAATGAAATAAGGTGTTCGTATTTTTAGTGTGTACAAAAGTAAAAAAAATTGTAAAAAAAACAGTAAATTTCTTTTTATTGCTTATAGATATACTCTTATTGAAAGCAATCATAATAGGAATTCAAATCTTAATTTATTATAAAAAAAATCTACTCTATATGTTTTCGGGTAAAATATGTGGCCACAGCCCAAAATCTTTATCCAACTATGAAGAAGCCTTCGATCTACTTTGTTATTTTTATTCAACTATTTGAGAGTAATATTTTATAAGTCAGAACTTCTCATAAAGATACGCACCCACTTAATGTACAGTGACAAACAAAATAGACAATGAAATAAGTTATCTTCTCCTAAACAAAATAGATACATTTTCTAATTTTAAAAACAAAAATACTTTAACAATATAGTCCGGATTTTGTTTAGGATAATGGAATCAGATTCCTTGGCACAAAATTCTAGGTAAGCAATCTTTGTCTAGGAATATAATCGATCTGGTGCATTTTTTTTTTGCGTGCATTTTTAATTTTATTTGAAATGTGAGCTAAGATAAATTGAAGATCAAACCAAGATAAAGAATTATGAAAAGTGACATAAAATAGGATGATAGAAGAGGATCAAGACCTTGCTATCAATCAGTTTGCATAAGTACAAACCGGAAACAAGGCACAAGATTGTTTATCGGATAAGATAGAGTTGGCATAGACAGAAACAAAGCCTAAAGAAGTAAAGTAGCTAGGCTTGGTGGTTCATACATAGCAAGACAAAAATCAAGCAGAAGAGGAGCATTTGTCATAGCAGAAGTTGGTGGTGTCAACACACCAGCACTTTGGAGGGTAAGAGCTAGTGCACAAGCAGGCCTTGCAAGTAGAGTGGCAGGTTTCTCCGACGTCCTTGCAATGGCACTGAGGAGGGATTGACGTAGTGCAGACACAGTTGTTACAGCAGGCAGTGGTGGTGGACTTGAGGAAATAGTTGGGTTCGCCTCTCTCATTCATCACCTGAGCCAGAAAGATGTCTGCATCGAAGCGAGCCTCCACTCTTGTAGTGCAGGCCATCAGGAACAGGACCAGACCCACCATCATCATTGCCTTCTTGTTCAAACCCGCCATCTTCTCTTTCTCTCTGTCTCAGTGTAAGTGTGTTGATGGTACGTTTGAGATTTGCTTGTGAAGTGGCGAGGAGATAGGGAAGGCTATTTATAAGCCATCTTGAGGGATATTTTTGGTACCATGTGTGGTTGATGAAGTTGAGGAGCCCAGCCAGCTGGCATGGAAGAAATTAAAAGAGGTGGGGTCTCCTGACACTACTACAGAATATATCTTTAGGAGCGGGTATTTAGGAGCGCTTCTTTAAAAAGCGCTCTAAAATGTAAATGCGGAATTTACCGGAGCGCTTTTTTAGAAAAGCGCTCCTGTATGTTAGGGCTTTTCAATAAGATAATGCTCCTAATTAATATAAATAAAATATTATAAAAAATTTAAAAAGACCTTCGGGAGCGCTCGTAGTTAAGCGCTCCAGAAGATTATCTTCCGGAGCGCTCTTCAAAGAGCGCTCCGAAAGATCAACTCTTTCGGAGTGCTCTTGGAATGAGCGCTCCGAAAGAGCTCATCTTCCGGAGCGTTCTTGGAATGAGCGCTCCGAAAGAGCTCATCTTTCGGAGCGCTCTTTTAATAAGCGCTCCGAAGAGGTGGTCTTCCGAAGCGCTCGTCAAAGAGCGCTCCGAAAGAGAGATCTTCCGGAGCGCTCTTTGAAGAGCGCTCCGGAAGACCACCTCTTCCGGAGCGCTCATTCATGAGCGCTCCGGAAGAGGTGGTCTTTTATATCTTGCCTCCCGTCAGTTTTCTTTTCCCTATTTATGAGTTTCTTTCAAACCTCTTTCTCATTTGCTGAGGTTGTGCGTTCCCAACGAGTTCTAGATCATCGCTGTATCAGTCTATCTTCCGTCACTATTCACTGTTCCAGATCGTCGTCCGCCGCTGTTCGCTGTTCCAGATCGTCGTCTGTTCGCTGTTCCAGATCGTCGTTCTGTTCACTGTTCCAAATCATCATCTGTTGCTGTTCGTTATTCCAGATTAGTGTTCATCACTGTTTGTTCATTTCTGTGTCATGTCGCGCCATCTGTCTCTGTTTTTGCGCTGCTGTCGCCGTCACCACCATCTCCTGCATCACTATTCTAGATCTACATTGCTGTTCCAGATTTGTGCGGCTGCTGTACACCGGAGGAAGCGACACCGTGAAGACCTCCGTTGTAGCCGTGTGTCATTGCTGTACAGCCGAGGAAGCAACGCTGCAAAGACCTCCGCTACTGCCGTGAAGACTTCCGTTTTCTGCCGTGAAGACTACACTGTGAAGGTATTTTTTTAATAATTAATTTATAATGTAATATATTGATATATTTATATATATTTGAGAATAAATTTCACATATATTTTTTTAATAATCAATATTATAGATAATATATGAATTGGAGTTATTTATATTAGAATTATGGAGTATTTGTAGTTGATAATTAGATTAAAGTTGAGGAAACTACTTGAACATTTTTATTTTATTTATGAAATATACTTTTAAGGGAGATTATTGTTATTAATTAAATTACAATTGATTGACAGAATTTAGATGCATTATGCTACTAAATTTTTATTTGGATGAATTAATTTTTTGAGTTTAAATGTATTGTGTTGTGGAATTTGATTGTTTGATCATTTGGGAGGTTCTTCTTTTAAGGAAGATGTTGTTGAATTTTTTTTATAGAAATCTAAGTCTTTTGTTTATTGAATTTTGATAATCATATTAGTGATATGGATCATAAGTGGATGTCGGCTAATCAACTATCTAGAGAATATTGGGATGGTGTGGATGAATTCATTGAATTTGCATTTTGTTGTGATCAAGACCCCCTTGGAGTCATATGTCCTTGTTTGAAATGTTGCTATGGAAAAAGAGTAAAGCCAATAAAATTGAAAGATCATTTAATCTGTAATGGGATTGATCCAACTTATACTTGTTGAACCATGCATGGGGAGACAAGGAATGATGCAAATGATTGGAGGGATAGTGCGAGCTACTCAACATTTGATCGTGATAGTGGGACATATGATGTTGACCGTCTTGATGAAATGATTCATATATATAACTTCATCGCTGAAGTATTTTAAATTAAGTTAGAATTTATTTTCACCATATTTTGATAATGACATCTTTTATTGTTTTATAGGTACCTACACAATTACAAGGTTGGGAGTGTGGATACTATGTTATGAAGTTTATGAGAGAAGTAATCACACAACAAGAGTTGATCATTCCTGAAAATGTAAGTCAAAAACTTTAAAATTAAGTTGATATAATGTTAATTCCTTATATATTGCTTTCATATCTTGTGTAGTATTTTGTTGGAGTAAGATGTTCGTATTTTACTATGGAGCAAATAGAAGATTTAGTTGAAGAGTTGTCAGAATATATTATTGGCTGTTTGTGATAGGAAGTTAGATTTCAATGTTAGAAAAATAACAATAGTTTCATTTGTTAGGCTTGTTAGAAATTAAACTAGGTTAGTTAGGAAATTAAAATTTTTGTATCAGTTTCAAATTCTTTTCTTGTATATAAATTTTTATGTTAATATTATTTTTAAATTAGTTTTTGATATTATGATTTGTCATTATTAAAGAGACGTAAAAGGAGAAATTTCAAAAAATCTGATTTAAAAAAAATTAAAGTAATATACGGGAGCGCTCATTTGAAAAGCGCTCCTGTAAAGTAACATACAGGAGCGCTCTTCCAGAGAGCGCTCCTATATGGTTCATACGGGAGCGCTCTTTATAAAAGCGCTCCGGTATGGTTGCATACGGGAGCGCTCTTGTAGAGAGCGCTCCCGTATGTAGCTCCCTTACAGGAGCGCTTTTCGAAAAGCGCTCCCGTATAACGTATATACAGGAGTGCTTTTTTTAAGCGCTCCTATACATTTCGGAGCGCTCGATACGAGAGCGCTTCAAAAGCGCTCCCTAAAGTAAAAAAAAAGCGCTCCTGTAAACTTATTTTGTAGTAGTGTGAGTCTCTCTTTATTAATCTTAATAATAAAATCTGTCACCCAATTATTCCCGTGGAGTATAAGATTGGTATATCCTACTACTTCTGTTTAGATTTGTTTTGACCACTTCAATTATTCATGTTTTCTTGTTTGAAATTGTTATTTTTAAATGACAATTAAATGACATTACACTACCTAGCTTGGTGCATGCATGTTTTGGATCGCGATGCCTGGATGTTAATGTTCTAATGGAAATTGCTACATGAAACTAGGAACACATCCCCCTCCCCCAACCAAAATAATTGATGAAATTTTTGTGGATGATACGAAAATAAAGGATATTTAGGTAATTGTATTCTCATGAGGGCAAAAATGTCAATTTGACCCAAGAAACCTTCATTTGGCGACAAACACGGATGCCCAACCCAAGAATCCTATAAAGTGGTTTTTAAGTGGTACAACCTAAATCAAAGTTTGATCTGTTTTATGATTGGATTAGACAATCCATGATCTAATTTGATCCAATAGAACTTGAAGTTGACTAAAATAAGATTTGATCCATAAAATTGATAGATTAGTCTTCATAATCTAATACTTCTATTTGTATTTTTCTCTCTTTCTTATATAAGAGGTAACAATTTATTTTAATTTAATAAGTTTAATTAAGGTAATAAAAATACTTGTAATCATATAAAATTCATCACACAACATTAAAAGCTAATAACAAATGATAATATCCCTTTAATTTCTTTTTCCACATACTTAATACGTATTATTATAAATAAATTAATTAAATAATTATAATTATACCAAAATAATTTTATAGAACCAAACTAAATTAAGTGGTCTTAGATCTCGATCTGCTATTAAGTCCAACCTGAAGATGAAGTATGATATTGTTAGTCTTTTTAGTCCTGAGTCAATTTTTTTTCCAAAGTGAACCGGCTTTATCTGGGTTGAACCAGGTTATACAAGACCGTCCGGTTTTTGCACGACCCTAGCTGAGGTCACTATTAAAGAAATAAAATAATGGTTGCGCGAGTTGCTCGACTGTTTTTCTTTAGTTGGCTAAGTACAAGAGTGCGTCTGATCGAAATCTCTTTTACTGTGTGTTCAAGTACAATTATTTTCGATATGTTTATTGCTTAGCTGCCTTGAAAGCTACCACACAAGGTCCTATTCACCACGTTATTCCCGCATATTTAGTTTCATGCTATATTCTAATCCAATCCAAACTAGTAAGTAATTGTGCCTTTAATATTTTATTTTTATTTTAAAGTATAATCTTAATTATTTTTTATTATTTTAAACTTTATGATCAAAATACAATGATGATCAGAGCTCAATTGTCATGATATATATATATATATATTCAATTTTCTAATAAGGGTATTATAGATTGGGGCTAATGTACAAGCTAAGCTTTTTTTAAAATATGTTTGCGTAACCTAAAGGAAATATTACTTAAGTATGTAAAATATTTAGATCTCTCGTGTTTTTCCCCTTAATTACAACAACCGTTCATTAGTTTAAAAGCTGTATAAATAATCCTTTTAAATTAAAGTTATGTTTTACAAATCTCCTCTCAAATTTTAGTATTGCATTTCCATATTCACTTAGCCATTAGTCAGCCATCATCTCCATGTTAGGCGTGTGACTACCACAAAAACATAAATAATTGGAATATTCAACTAATTAAATTTGCTATTGTATTAATCAATACGAGCACGTGAAATATAATCTGACTAAATATTAAACACTTTTTTCACTCTTTATAATAAAATTTTTAAGGACAAAAACCAAAAAATATTATTGTTTTATGGAAATAGGGAAATAACTGCTTTTTTATATATATGAAATATGATTGAAAGTGTGATATAATTTAGGATGGAGAGAGAGTAACAATATGCATTGCAGTTCATGTTTTAAAAGCGTCTGGCTTGAATTTATATACTCTCTCAGCAGTTACCCATTTGAAGCCAATCTTAAATAGCCTCTGACTAAATTGAAAGACAAAATACTTACAAAAGATGCTCTATGATAATGGAGCGAGTGCTGCGTGTTATTACTTAGTAGGGAAAATATCATTCAGGATCGCTGAGACAATTTAATATCAAACAAAAACTAACAGATTCTAAAATATTATTGTAGCATCAGGGTATTGATTAGAAAATAATTTTAGATAAGAACAGATTATAATATGCATGCTTTTCTTTTTCTTTTTTTTTTAAACTTGTCAATTAACAAATAATTTTTTTGTTAATTAACAAATAATTACTTATTGAAATGTGATCTACACTTATCTCTTCCCACAATCAAACTCTTTCAAATTCAATATCTACTTATTGAAACATGCATGATTTATATTTGTCCCTTCTCGCAATCAAGTTCTTTCAAATTCTTAAACTTGTCAATTAACAAATAATTTCTTGTTAAATGTACATAAATACTTATTAATTAATAAAGACTACTTGTTGAAACATAACCTACACATGTTCCTTCACACAACCAGGCTCTTTCAAATTTTTAAACTTATCAATTAGTGAATGATTTATTCTTAAATATAAATGAATATTTATTAATTAATAAATGACTATTTGTCAGTTAAAATAGAAAAGTAGGGGTATTGTAGTATTTTCTCATTTAAAATTATTTTTAAATTAATCTCCTAGTTGTGCAATGATAATATTTTTGAATCTTTTAATTCTTGTTTAATATTAAATTGTCTCAGCTATTTTTAAGTGATATTTTCCCTACTTACTATTATTGAGGGTGCATTGATGTGCCATTGCACTACTATTGTTTGTAGAACCAAATTAACACAATTGTTTTATTATTGCTGGTTAAATAGTTAGAAGAGACTGGCTAGTAATTTGTGCTTTATATTTTCAAAAAAGCATCGAAGAAAGATGTCTTTAATTTAGGACCCACCAGAAGGCCAGAACAATTACTTTGGATATGCTTGGTTTTGAAAGCGACTGGGCATTTGCATATTCCCAACTTGCGAGTTTTGAAATAATAATTGTGGGTCATTATCATCATTATTGTAAACTTAAATATTTAGTGTTAAACATTTAGTTTTTTTTGAATTTATACTACTAATAAGCTCTTAAAATATTATATAGGATAGACACTATTGCAAAAATAAAACAAACATGTCCAATCATTATTTTATCAACGGGTTATTAAGACAAATCCGCCAAAGGATTGTTTATATAAAATAACAGTTTTGAGCTTTACAAATTTCACTATTTTTTTAATAATTTTTGGCCGCCTTAGATTTTTACGTAAAACATAAGTAATAATTAACAAACAAGCTAAATAAGTGATTATTTTAATAAAGATTTATTATCAGTCGCTTCGCTCAAAATAATGGCTAAGATTTAATAAGTGGAGTGTTTATAATTAGGGAGAATGTCCCAGAATGACATTTTAGTCCAAAAGCAGCCCTTGACGACCATGTAGAAAATGTGTCCTCTCCTCACAGACTCACACTTACCGAGCACGGAGCTGTCAAATCTCAAAATATAACTTCAAAATCTCACAGGCCTGTCAAATATGCCTTACAAGCAGAGTGAGATAGTCAACTTGATCTACTGGCTACTGCTACAATTTTTACGGCATCTCAAAGAAATATAACTCCGATTATTAAAATAATATTTTTTTCTCATAAAACTCGTGGTTCTCTCTCCCTCATATTATATATTAAATACATCAACCATGCTTGCCACGATGAAAACAGCAGGAAATTTTTTTTTTGGCCAGTTGATGCTATAAACAAGGCTTGACTGGAATTGGAGCAAGGAAGAAGAGTTATAAGGAGAAGAGGGTTTGATTTGGACCTCAAGGATTATGCCGGCCCACAAAAGCCCCTTTTGTGGTCCATTTATTATCAAGGTTAAAGGACAATTTAATGTCTAGATTATAAGTCAGTAATGTTTGGGATTCTAAACTTGTTTTTTATACAATATTCTCTTTTAACTTTTGAAAATAGCATAATGCAGCTTTTATTATTAATAAAAGTTAACTTTGACTATTAGTTGACTTATAAAAAATGATTAAAAATTACAAATAAGGATCCCAAAAATTACATACATTTCTTGGTCTTTTTTATCATTTTTTGATCAACTAATAGTTAAATTTTTTGAAAACCCTATTTAAATGAGGGTTCAGACTTAAAAAATAAGGAGTTTTAGGATAATCAGACTTTTGAGCCCATCCTTGATAAGCCCAAAAGAAAGGGCTCAGGTCTGAGCAGCCCTCCAAATCCTACTTTATTTTTTTCCTTCTATTTTAGAATGCATCGTTTGGTAAAAAAGAAAAAAATCTTAAGCATTTGATTATTTCAAGTTCTCCAACTCTCTTTATCTCTTGACTTAACATCTACCTCTCGTCCTCTCATTTTCTCTAATTGTCTTACCTTCCCCCCTCATCGCTCTAGATGTTCAAGATTTTAATTTGATGCTTGCTTTTAAGATTGCAATTTGATTTGAAAATTTTGATCCCTTATCTTATTTTATAAGGAATATATCGATATTTCTAGTTTATTTTGTTTTTAAAACTTTGTTGTTAATTATGATGGCATCAACTAACATTTATTTAGGTTTTTAAATCTTTTATTTATTTTCTAGATGATGTGACATCTAGATTTAGTTTGTATTAAATTTTAGAATTAAATTATAATGTTAAATATTATGCTGTTGAATTAAATTATTTTTTAGAAGACCAATGTTAAATTATAATATTAAATTTTTTAATTTTTACTTTGAAATCGAGCTTCCGAACTCGACTTTGAACCCTTTCAATAAGGGTCAAGCCTCAAGATTCTATAAAAATTTGGGAAATTGAGCTTCATGGCCTAAGTCCTTAAGGGCTAGGCCCTAAAAGACCGGACTTGCTCGTATTCTCATCTCTACATATATTACTTTAGTATTTGAACATTTTTGAATACTTTATCGGTATCTCAATGGGCATAATACATTTTAGATTTGAGAGTGAGAATGATATTTCAAATTTATTTCAATTTAACTTAAATATTAATATGACCACACTGCAAAATATTTGAAATGTTAGACTATTATCTTTGTTTGGTCCTACTAAATAGGTTATATGTGTAAAAGTCCTTTTTATCTATTTGCTTAACCAGCGTTTATACATATTTAAAACATGACATTTAAATATAATAAATCATGAATATATTCTGTGCTTCAAAACTAGGTTTGAAATGATTTATTATATATATATATATATATAAAATAAATAATTCAGGTTTGAAGTCTCTGGATCATTTATATTTTTTATTTATATTAAATAGATTAAATTTTGATTATTTTTGATAGATTTGGTTCGGAAAATTGTTTGTGTGTGTATGTGTAATAAAGGAGTGGTTAATGCGTGTGTGTGTGTGTATACTTGAAATTCAAATAAAATCATTTAAAAAGAAGTAATCAAATTATTTTATATTTTCGTACAATAATAAAATTAAATATTGTTTATATCTCCCAACCTACTTCATGGGCCACGCAGAAAGAAAGAACAAAAAGAAATACTATCATCCAAGTCCAGGAAATTCCAAAACTTGGAGAAAGAAGTCACTTTTCGTTCCCCCAATTATTCCATACCTCACGGCTTATAAATAGCGAGTCCTCACTATCTACTACACTCACCACTCCAACACACGAAGACAGTAAAACACAGAGAAAGAGAGAGATGGGTTTGAAAGTAGGGATGGTGTTGTTTCTGATGGCCTTCTTGGCTGCTGCAACTGTGGAGAGTCGGTTTGATCCAAACACGTTGCTGTCAGAGATGAGAAGGGTGAACCCAACTACGTGATCAAGTCCACTACCACGGCCTGCTGCGACAACTGCACCTGCGACTACATCGAGTCAGAGCCATATGCATGCTGTTTCTTAGATATCACAGAAACATGCCACTCTGCTTGTAAGGGCTGTGCCTGCACTCTCTCCTTTACTCCACAGTGTCGTTGCCTTGAGACCACCTTTGGCTGCTATGATAAATGCTCCTCTTCTGCTAAATCTCATATCGCAAATCGATGCTCTCATCGTCTTATGTGAATGTAAACCATAAGCCTACTACGTGCCTCTATATGCCTTTGTTTCTCTATGCATGTGAACTCTATCTATTGAAATAATTAAAGTATATCTCGTGCCTTGCTTCTAATTTGCATTCTTGCAGACTGGTTGCTTGCAAGGTCTTGATCTTCATAAATAAACTATAAGAAATACAGAACATGGGGTTGTCGTTGTTATTTTCTTGTGAATAGATAGAAAAGAGCTCGTTTCATTTTTATACATCACTTCTCCCTCTCGATCTGCAGTATCTACCTTCACTCTTCAGAGAGAGAAGAACCAGAGAGAAGGGCATTCTTTTGGGATGAGGGCATTTTTGTCTTTCTATATTTTAAATAACAATACTACATAAAAATAATCTCTCAATTACATAAACATACTAAATATATTTTTAAACCTCATCTTTATTGCCATCTCCATCTCCATTTCCATCAAAACCATTTCCATCGTACCAATTGGGGTATTAGCTTTTGTTGGGGATTCCATGGCCAGAAATCAACTTGAGTCCCTTCTCTGCCTTCTTGAACACGTTGCAGGTGGCTCTTCGCTTCTCACAATGTGAGTCTCTCAGTTTATTGGTCTCCGTTTCTTGTGAAAGGCATTGAAAAATCAAGCAGAGGTCCTAATCATAACACGTTGTAAGGATTGCTATGATGTTATTTATTTTATCCCTATTTAGGATGGCATGAATGTTGGATAGTATGGTTTGGTTACAAAAGCAAGTTATCGGAGGTTGATTACTACTACTAGCCACTTCATATCTAGTCCATAAAAATAATATCATTTCTTTAATTTTTTTAGTCTGTTTGCTTTCATTAGCCATTTAAATTTTACATACATGAGTTTATTTGAAGTGATTATTATTTTCCTAATTCACAATTTAAAATGTTTTATAATAATTAATTAGTTTTAATGCACGTGGGCGGTGGCTCATTTTTATGCAAAATATATGAGGTTGAGATTTTTTGAGGACAAAAAGGGTGGACAAGAGGAAATGATCATAACGATGGATTCATATTTTGAGGACAAAAGAGGAGGCAGGCCGGAGCCAAATACCTTTCTTTTTTTAACACACAAATTTAAAAATATGTCGAACGGTTTAAATTTTGAAATCATAGGAGACAACTTAAATAAAACAAAATGATCTCATATTTGGCTCCGGCTTATTTATTTTTGTGTTTGGTTTGGAAGCTTTTGAAAAGGAAAGAAGAAATCATCCTCCTACATTGATATTTTAAAAATTTGTAATCTCAAAGTGCTATTATTTATCTTATTTAGTCCCCAAATGTCACTCATTTCCCGGGTTTCTGATGACACTCTAATAGCTCTAATATCGACAACCCCACATGCTTGAAAGAGAAAACAAGTGAAAGCGTGTAAAGGTGTTGCAGCCTCACTTTGTTTATGATATTGAGTTAACACAGACACAGAAAGAGGTTTCTCACGTTGAGATTAAAAATGCAGCTTTTAGTGTGGGTGCCTTTACTGCGCCGGGTGTTGATGGCATCCAAGTTCACTTTTTTTTTTCTTTCCCAATCTCAATGGATGATTGTGGGGCGTAAATTTTATGATCGTGTTAAAAAAGCCTTTGAACACCCTAAGAGAGTCAAGGAGATTAATCATACCGACATCATCCTCATTCCTGAGATTGATCATCCCACCTCTCTGAAAGATTTTCATCCAATCTCCTTGTATAATGTCAGTTTCAAGATTATCATTAAAATTCTTGCCAATAGATTCAAGGGGACACTCCAAAAAAAAAAACATTGCTTTTAGAGCTTTTTTTTTTTTTTTTTGCTTTAGAGGTGTTTTAAACACCACTTAAAGTGATTTTGGTGTTATCAAAGAATGCTGCAAAAATAGGTGCCACCACTGCTTTGGTGGCATTTTTAAAAAGTGCCAGAAAACCACAAAAAATGCTTCCTTTAGAGATGTTTTTTTTTTGGGGGGTAAAACAACACTGCTAAAGGGGGCGTTGATGCATGTTATTTTTTGGGGGGTCTTTGTTTGAAAATGCCCCCCACAAGAGGCATTTGCTTCAAAAATGCCTCTATTAAGAAGGCTGTCCTGAACTTTTTTTCAATTTGATTTTTTGAAATATGAAGTTAATATTTAATAAATAATTTCCATTTCACTCGTTCATTAATATTTAACTTCAAAATTTGAAGTTAATATATTTGAAGTTAATTTGGAGGTGGACTGCACCACCCTTTGCAGTCTGAAATTCAAGAAGTTAGAGATCTTATTTTCTCTTATTAGGATGTGGAAATTATGTATTCAAATTGGGAAGTGCTTAGCAGATTGGCTCGCTAAAAATGCGCATGGTAGAGAGAATGATACTAGGATTTGGTTTCAACCCTTGATGGATTGCATTGACCTTTATTGGTCAGATAAATAATGATATAATGTTTCTTATTTCCAGGCCTTGGGCCTGTCATTCAATGCAAAAAAAAAAAAACTTTCTTTGTGTTAAATGAAGTAACATGATTCAAGTGGAAAGGAAATTGAAACCTATAAATTAAAATTCATAAATTAATCAGTTATCGTTCACAAATTAACGCAAACTCGCATGTTGGCAGCTTGGTATTTGTCAAGATCATTACGATGCTAAAATGAAATTGGGAAGTTTAGATCAAGTTCGCAGAAATAGAACAAAACCAAGTGGCGGACAAAATGGCAAAAAGAGGGGATTTCCTCTTCTTCTATTTTTGAGGTTGCTCCTTGTTTTGCAAGAAGTCTTATTTCTTCTGATAGTTTGGGAGCTCAATCCCTTTCCACCAATAATCTCTTTTTGTGTGATTTCACTTTAGTAGTATGGGCTTTGCCTCTTTCCTACCAAAAAACAGAAAAGAAAAGAAAACAATTGGGCTACAATCCAAAAAAAAAAAAGGCTTGCCTTTAAACTTTTTCGGTAAAACTAGTTAAAAAGTAAAAACTAAAGAATAGTTTGCTCTGTGCTAAAAAATATGGATTCTGTGTGTTAGAAATTCTCTTATTTGACAAGCGTCTCACATGACACTGTATATGGAATCCAAGGGGCTTGCCAACATAAGTAATTAATCCGCGAGAAAATGTGAGCTTGTCACTTTGGCATGTAATCTTTTTTTTTTTAATAAAAAAAGTTTAAGCAAATTAAGTCCCAAACCTTCAAATTCAAAGAAAACTAATCTTCGTATCAATAGCAAAATATGATAGCAGTGACTTTTTGAGTTATGAGTTAAATTCTTATCAATTAGACCAACATTTGATAGTCTCTCCCTTTCTATCTTATCTTCATATATCATAATTAACAAAAATGCTGACTGATTTTATTTTGGTAATGCGCTCCTTCTTTAACTTCATACAAAAGTAAACAGGTCATAGAGTTTCCATTTTTGTGATCCATCAAATTTTTCTTATACCTAGATTGAGAATTTCTTACTCAAGAATGCATCTCTCTCTCACGTCCATCAAACGTCATCATCTTTTCTTCCATTAAAGTCCAGTTTTGCCGTCGTACTATTCCCATAAAGAAAGTCAAAATTGTAAAGCACAATCACCATAGCCACTGAACACAAGAAAACAGGCACAGGTCCGACGATCCAAAGAAGAAGAGGAAGTGCTGAGTAGAAAAGCCTATTGCCCACTGTGTTCAATATGATTCCTTTCTCCGAAAGCTCTGTTAAATACTGTGGGTTCACCATGGATTTCATGTCTTGTGGGGTACACACGAGGATGCATACCTGGTTCAGAAACCTTATGGATAGAGTGTGACACAAGAATGAGAAGAGGAAGATGGTGAGTATCGTCACAAACTTCAGCGACACCATTAACTCACTGTGGGCTCCGTAAACGGCGTCGTTGAGAGGCTTCTTCACGCTGTAGGTGCTGCTTATGACGGCGGCTAGGCCGGCCGAGAGGAAGACCGATGTGGTGGCCATGAGTGTTGAACCCATTATCAGATTGCGCAGGGATTGCACTACTAGGATGTTCTTCTTTTCTATGTCCTTCAAAGAAAAAGCACAGGTTTTATTCAATGCATGAAAACAGATCGTTAAACCAATCAAGGATTAATATCTAAACTCGTAGTCAAACCATAATCATCAGATCAATTATAAACAACACATTTATTGACTTGACCAAGACACTAGTATAACAATTTACTGGTCCAACTAGATAGATTGACCCGAATTTTAATACTATGATTTATGAATTCAAACCCGTGTCGTGCAAAAAGTATTACACGCATGGAAATTTAATTTCACTACAATATTTGTCTCAAGGAATTTTTTAGATTGCACAATAGTTGAGTCTAATTAGGATTATCAATGAAATTCAGTAACATAAATTTATAGATCCTTTTGTCTATTAAAGAGATGTGGTTTATGATTTGAACCTAGATACAGAAAAAGATAATGTAATTAGAAAGGGTATATAGCTGTTTAAAGAATTGTGATCGATACATCACTCGTCAGAAATCAATGGCTGCTGCAGAGATGAACAATGGAATTTTCAAGAGTGAGAAAAGTGAGATAATCAAGATCCCATTAAGACACAATATTTGGTTAATTATTAATTAATTAAAAGATTAATTAGTGGTGAAAAAACATTTGATTTACCTTACGTTAGATTGTGACACGTTCCGTTCAATCATGAAAGAAATTTGCCCTTCCTTTATTCTTATTTTATTGAATGGGTAAAGAAAGCGATTTTGAAGGAGACCAGACCGCAAAAGCAGAATGTAAGTGGAATTATGATAAGACCGTCCATTTCTTTATCATAATATATACTGTGATACCATTTGTGCTAAAAGTCTCCACTTATTACTTTGTTTTTTTAAAAATTAAATTATTGATCTTTCTTAACAAAATAATTGATCATTTTAAAAATATATTTTTATTTTAATACACAAAAAGTCATTTTTTCAAGAAACATCTTGAAGCTAGATAAGATCACTCAATTTATTTCTCAAACATCTTTTCACTAATAATCATAATAATTCCTATTGAGAGGATGTAATTTATTTTTTCGGTTCAAGATACATAAATAAATATGTACAATTAATTGAGTAATGTTGAATTCCTTTTTAGATGGAATCAATTGAGGGATATTTTAATTGTGAAAATATTAAAAAAATAAATATGTATATCCTATTGTTAAATTACTAATGGGCAGAACTTATACACTTAGTCTTATATACTTATTTTGCTTATATCCTATCAAATCATGACAAATGGATCTCAATCTAATAATTGAATTAATAATAATAATTTATTATAGAATAAATAATCTATACAAAGATACACATGTCATAATTTAATTGAAAATAAGCACATTAAGTATATAAGGTTAAGTGTATAATTTTTTTTCCATAACTAATTTAGTTTGAAAAATTTTATCAAAACTCAGGTCTTCAGCCAATTTATGTAGATTCAGTACTGGAACATTCATTTCTGTATCTGTAATTTCAAGATTCAATTCAATATTCATTTCCGTTTCTGTAGTACGCTCAGTCTTTTCTACTACGAATTCCTTTGCAATCTATTTATCAATAGAATTGAGATAATTCCTTATATATATCATATCCAGACTCGTCTGGAGTCAGCAAGCAGCGAAAATAACAGTTTAAAAGAGAAAGCATGAGTCAACAAAGTTGTAGGTACATATCATCACTTGGTGGGATCAAAAAATAACCTGCGCGCATGCTGTGTCTTTCTCAATAATCGACATCTCCAGCTAAACATATTAATTTCAAAAGCTTAACTTGCCTAAAAGAATTAGAGATATATAAAGTTGTGTTTAGTTAATTACTGAAAAAACAGATTAAGAGAGGGAACGAAGAAAGTAATGTGCATGACTAAGTTACAGTGAATTTGTGCGCGCGCACATATAGAGAGACAGAGAGACAGGAGAGTCAATAGTCAATACCTTCATCATCGTGGGAACCCAGAGCCGGCGGCCATGAGAGTTGATTCCGATGACAGTGGTGAAGGGATCGGTGCGAAGCTTATGCCATAACCAAAAGTGATAAACCAAGTTTATAATAATCCCCAGAGGCACCAACATGACATCCAAATAATATTTCCTCCATTCCATGCTCATCCCAAATCAAGCTGACCACTACTCTTGGCTCTGACGACGACGACCAGATGATCGATCCTTGTAGGTTCTTTCTATCACTTGAATATCAATATTTTTTCATCACTCACACAGCCTATGCTTATCTATTTATAAAGGAGAATAGTGCAATCTTTAAACATTAAAAATAAAATAAAAATAGCACGTTGCTGTGTTGGAATAATTTTTTAGATCATTAATATTTGGATTTGAATTGTAAATCTGTAGAGGTTGTAGGGGTTATGATTTAAAGAAAAATCAATATCCTTTACCTGCAAGAAACAAAATGGCGTGGAGAAGAAACTAAGGATATTCAAGGTTTCAAACTTTGGTATACAGGAAAAGTAAGTGTACGCAATGGAGTAGGCATCATTATAGATAAAGAGTGAAAGAAGAACGTTGTAGAAGTTAGCAGAATTGGAGACAGAATTATTTCCTTAAAAATGATAATTGGATGTGAGACTATTAATATTGTTAGCGCTTATGCGCCGCAAGTCGGGACAGAAGCCAGTCTTAAGGAATTATTTTGAGAGGATCTAGAGGGGTTGATTCGACACATATCACAGAGTGAAAAGATTTTTATTGGAGGAGACTTTAATGGGCATGTCGGGAGGGAAGCTAGTCAGTATGCGAGGGTGCATGGTGGTTTTGGTTTTAGAGAGCTAAATAATGAAGGACAAACTCTTCTTGATTTCTCATTGGCGTATGATTTTAAGATTGCCAACACTTGTTTCAAGAAGAGAGATGAGCATCTCATCACCTACAAAAGTGGAGCTTCAAGGTCACAGATTGATTTTCTTTTGGTTAGGAACACAGATAGAAGACTTTGTAAAAATTACAAGGTGATCCCCGGAGATGCTGTAACGACACAACATAGGGTCCTAGTCCTTGATGTGTGTATTATGAGTAAAATCCAAAAACGTCGACAAGTAGTAGCACCAAGGATTAGGTGGTGGCAATTAAAAGGTGAGAAGCAAGATATTTTCAAGCAAAATCTTTTGGATAAAGGAATTTGAAAATCTCAGGGAAATGCTAACATCATGTGGGAGGATATGGCTAAAAAGATATGGGAGGTTGCAAAAGTAGTTTTGGAAGAATCAAAAGGTTCTGGTCCGAGAGATAAGGAGTCTTGGTGGTGGAATAATAGTGTACAGGATAAAATCAAGTATAAGAAGAACTATTTTAAAGCCATACATTTGTGTAACAATGAGGAAAATTGGGAGAGGTACCGTATGGCTAAGAAGGAAACTAAGAGAGCTGTGGGTGAAGCTCGTTCTAAAGCTTTTAAAGAATTTTATAAAAGCCTTGAGACGAAGGAAGGAGAGCGAAATATTTATAAGATTGCCAAGAGTAAGGAAAGAAAATCAAGAGATCTAGAATAGGTAAGGTGTATTAAGGATGAAGATGGAAGAACTTTAGTTACAGATGATGAAATTAAAAATAGATGGGAGACTTACTTTTCTAAACTTTTCAATGATGGAGAGGGTTTATCTAGTAACTTGGAGGATTTAGTAACTAGTGAAGGAGAACAAAATTTGTCATTCTATCGAATAATACGTGATAAGGAGGTAAAGGAAGCTCTTAAGAAAATCGCAAATGGTAGAGCCAACGGACCTGATTGTATATTTATCGAAGCGTGAAAATGTTTAGGTGAAGAAGGGGTGAGATGGTTAACTAAGTTATTTAATGTGATTTTACGGTCCAAGAAAATGCCTGATGAGTGGAGGAGAAATACATTAATTCCTATTTATAAAAATAAAGGAGATATTCAGAATTGTACTAACTATAGAGGGATTAAACTCATGAGCCACACAATGAAATTGTGGGAGAAAGTAATTGAGCACAGGTTGAGATTGGAGACATGTATTTCTGAGAATCAATGTGGTTTTATACCAGGTAGATCAACTACAGAGGCGATTTATCTATTAAGGGGATTAATGGAAAAGTATCGTTGTAAAGATAAAGATCTACACATGGTTTTTATTGATTTGGAAAAAGCTTATGACCGTATACCAAGAGAAGTGCTTTGGAAAGCGTTAGAAAAAAAAAAGTACGGATTGCTTATATTAAAGCCATACAAGATATGTATGAGGGGGTAAAAACTAGTATAAGAACACCTAGTGGTCAAACAAAGGATTTTTTTATAAAAATTGGACTACATCAGGGATCATCTCTGAGTTTTTATTTGTTCAACTTGATCTTAAATGTTTTGACGGAACATATTCAAGGGGAAATTCTGAAATGTATGCTCTTCGCCGATGATATAGTTCTTATAGCAGAGACAAGAGAAGAAGTTAATTGCAAACTTGAGTTATGGAGGAGGACATTGGAGTCGAAAGGTTTTCGTCTGAGTAGAAGTAAGACGGAATATTTATATTGTAAATTTGGTAAAGGACTATTTGACAATAATTTGGAAGTAAAATTGGGAGATCAAATTATACCTCAAGTGGAAAAGTTTAGATATTTAGGAGCCATTATTCAAAATGATGGCGAAATCAGTGGAGATATTTCACATAGAATTCAAGCTGGATGGTTTAATTTGAGAAAAGCTAAAGGAGTTATTTGCGACCGTAAGATGCCTAATAAACTTAAAGGAAAGTTTTATCGCACTGCTATCAGATCGGCAATGTTATATAGTAGTGAATGTTGGGCTCTAACGGGACAGCAAGAGCATAAAATTGGAGTAGCAGAGATGAGAATGTTACGATGGATGTGCGGACATACACGTAAAGATAAAATTTGAAATGAGCACGTACGCGAAAAAGTGAGGGTGGCACCTATTGAGGAAAAAATGGTAGAAAATCGATTGAGATGATTTGGGCAGGTACAAAGAAAACCAAGGGAGGCACCAGTGAGAAGAGTGGAAAATATAACTTTGAGTCCGATTAAGAGAGGTAGAGGAAGGCCTAAGAGAACACCCTTGGAAGTTATTGAACGTGATCTCTTAATTAATAATATTCCTAAAAGCTTGATAAATGATAGAGCACAATGGCGTCTTGCAATCCATGTAGCCAACCCCACCTAGTGGGATAAAGGCTTTTTGTTGTTGTTGTTGTAATATTTGGATTTGAATTAATTAATTATTATTTGGCATATTATGAGTAATTAGGAAAATTGGATTTGAATTAATGCTAAGCTCACAACGGATTAAGATGCTAAGTATAGGGAATATTACAATCAAGGACCTTTGTAGCAACATATTTGCTAAAAAGGACCAAAGGATTCTGAAATTGCTCTGCATCAAAACCAAGGGACCAAAATATAATTAAAATTTATTACTCTCTCTGTTCAAAAGCATAAGGCATTTTTAACTAGATCTTATCCCTAATAAAGTAATTACCTACTTTTTAACTAACCCTATATTTTTATATTTACCCTTATTAAATATTCTATAATAAATATAAAGTCATTATCAAGCACTTTTGAAAAAAAAATAATGATTACACCTCAAAAGATTAAAAATATCTTACATTTTTTAGCATCTAGCTCCTCAAAAAATACTTTATATTTTTAAATGGAGGGAGTATGAAATTACAAAAATACCTCTCATTTTTTTTAAAAAAATACCCCCAATGTCACCAACCACTAAAACACTGCTAGTAGTGGCAAGAGCTCTAGCCCCAATCACCAGATAGCTTCCACCAAACTGATTGCAAAGATGACAAATTAATTTTTTTTCTAGGTGGCCAAGGGGAGTTTAATCCCACAACTCTAGGTCACCAAAAAAAAAATGACAACCACTAAGTTAGTAATACCTCTTAACATATAATACAAACTATTATATATATATATATATATATATTATTAACTTTGTTTTCATTTTCCAAATCAATACTTGTTGGGACTTTAATGGTTACTTATCATTTCACAAATAACTGCTTGTTAAATTATTAATGAGACTTGTTAAAAAATTTAATATATACTGGTTTTTATAGATATTTATTCGTTTTTATTACCAAAAATTTACTTGCAAAAAAACTCATATGAAACTTTTATTTTTTTTAAATATATTTGTCAAATTATTAAGAAAAATTCTCAAAGTTAGCAGGAGTGTGAAAGGAGAGGGAAAACGCATATGCAGCTTGCCAACTCTTTTTTTCCAATCTGACATTCAGTCAACAAATAGCGTTTGATCAAAATTGATAAAAGACACTAAACGATCTTTTTTTATAGTTGATAATTTTCTTTACACTATTCGATAATATAGACTACTCAATACTCCCAGAGAAATAATTTGTAGCTAAATTTATACATTTACACATTGTAATTTTAATAGTATTGATCTTCTCATGGAAAAAAATATAGGTTTCATCTTGTCTTGTTTTGGTTATGAATTCTTCTCTTTTGTTAAAAGAAAAAAAATATGGATTCAATCGACAACATAAATTTTATTGATAAGTTTTTTACTATAAGACTGACTAAGACGGGTTGGGATAAATATTTTGCATTTTTAATTCTAACATTCATTAGTTATAGTTAACGTGCTTTTGAGGGTGTCACCTGCACGATCAATGTGAACATCAAAGGATGTGCAGCAATTATATTATCCAACAGCTAAATTACTAACCCTGACATGGTAGGTAAAAAAATATTTTCTAAAAAGATAAATAGAAAAAGCGCCCTCTCATTTTCTTGCTCTCTTATTGTTTTCCCCCTAGAGAACACTTTTAATTTCCTGTGCAGCAAACATGCTAAAAGTTAATTTTCACACTCTCTCTAAGCTTTTTTGTTTTTTGTATGCTAATTAGAGGTTAAACAGGTTGTTACCATCCTTCCACACTAATCACTTAAGGCCACGGAAGACTTTTCAGAATGGGAAATAAAAATGGAATCAAATTAGATTATAAAAATATGTTTGGTATTAGCATAGAATGCAGATATTTTTTTTTATCGGATAGGTATATTTATAATGTCAACTCAATTAATATAATATCCGTGTCGAATAAAAATAAAAAACTGTGGACGCCGGTGACCGTGTCGCAATCACTGTCCAAAAACTTCAACCAAACTTAGAAACTTCAACCAAGCTCCCAAATCAAATCCCAAAAATAATTAAAAGAAAAAATCTCAAAAACATAGCATTGAGGTTTGAAGAGGTCAATTCCAGGGAATTAATCAAACCGATTCCATCAAAATTATGATGGAATTGTATTCTGACATTTTTGTCAGAATTGGGTTACATTCCTTAAGAATCACAATTCTTATTTACCAAACATACTTAGATCTGAATTTTTTTTTTTTGATTCCATTTTCATTTTGCTTATTCAATGATACAATACAGGGCCTAAGGACTTTTCAAGTGAACACAATTAACTCATTTACAATATTAAATTCTTCGATTTCTTGTCTAGTTTCCGTCATAATGGTAAATGATTCTTCTAGTACGAGGGATGGAAATCCTCAGCAGAAGATTGTCTTGAATTGGAGGGATCAAGACTTTCAATATAAAATTTTAAAAATATAACAAACAAAATTATTCACAAGCTATATATATATTTTTTGACCAACATTTCACAAGCTATATATGAATAAGTTCATTTTATATTTCATTTTCATGTAAATACATAGAATCTCTTTCATTATTTAATTATATATAATTATATGTATATATAGATATATAAAGAAGTCTAATGTTTTTTATATAACAACTTGGTTGGGAGGAGTTTATCCTTTATCCTAAATACCTGAATGGATATTAATTTCTGCTGTTAGTGGAATACATTCGTTCATTTAGACACATGTCAAAAACATTTTCTTTATATATTTCAAAGAAACAAAACTCACCTAATGCATGCGCTTCATATTGATTACAATGCCACCAGATCCATTCATCTAGTTGATTAAAAGAGAAGAGAAGAGAGAGACGTTTACGCAAGTGAGCCATCATTAGTAATAATCTACAAAAAGTATTAATTCGAGTGAAATTAGTGCTTTCACCTCTGGCCACTATGTTTACACTCACTTAAGAGAAAGGTTATGCTGCTATATAAATTAAATAAGATTCATCTATCTAATACGTATCAAACACTTGTAATTAATTGGAATCAGCTTTGATGTATGTGTTGCTTTGTTGTTGGCCGTAATGGCAGACACACACAAGAAACATAGTCAAAATAAACCATTACATATATTAAGATCATAATGTTCACAACGAGAATCTTAAGTGAGTAAAAGCATAAGGAGAATGCGAATGCTCTTTTTGTTATTTCCCCCTTCTTTTTCCACGCAAATTTTATTTATTTTTTTTACCTTAACGAGGTAGTAACATTCAGATAAGTATGTTTTCAAATACTCTCTTCAATCTTATTTATAAGGTATAGAGAGAATATTTTTACCAAAGGGCACTTTGTTTAATTATCTAAGGGGATTGAAATAGCTTACCCAATTGGGATCTCAAATTTGAGTCCTGGAATATGCAATTGAGTTAAATAAATATGCCAAATACATTCTTGAGATATCCACCAGGGTTCAAATTAGCCTAGGAATTAAAAAAAAAACCCAGATTTTTTAAAATACTAAGTGATGGAATAAAAAAAAATTTATGTCCTATTTGTAAGTCCATCATTATTAAATTTTTATCACAATTTTTTTTATCTTTCATTAAATATTTGTGAAAGAAAATTTATTATTAAAGTATGTATATTTAACATGGTTGAAGTTTAGAACTTATTAAATTTTTAGATAGAATTAAAGAGTTTTGAGATTTTCTTTAGTGCTAATGAAACATGTTAAAAGTGACTTATAAATTAAATGAAACCAAAAAATATACTAAAGTTTATATAATCTTTCATGAAAAATGTGTTTCAATTTATAACCTTATTTAGTCGTCTATCTCGTACGAATCATGAGTGATGACCGATGAGTTCATGTCCAAATCGCACTTGCTTTGATGAGACGGAATACAATTATCGTATTCTATCTCACACACACGCACGCACACATCTTTGACTTTTGCATCACAACTGAAGTCAACGCAATATGTCAAATTTTGCTCCAAGATTTTCCTAATTATGAAATTTTGAGTGGAGTAGCTTTCATACCACTGAAATATTCTTTCTAACATTTTTAACTAGAAAAAAAATTTATCTCTCACGCTACGTCTTATCTTATAATAAATTTAATATTAATAAGCTGAAATATAAATGTAAATAGGATGCTGTAAAATATGAAATATCAATTTCCCAAAAAAATATAACAACTTGTTAGGAAGTGGAAGCAATTACCGAAAAATGAGAAGAAAGAACAAATGAACAAAGAGTAGCGGAACCCAAGAATGACAACTAAGAACATCCTATAAATATTAATATTACCAAATCCTTAGTTAATAACAATTAAGGTCCCTGTCTTATTTATTTTGGGAAAATACTTATATCCTTACAGTTCCTGTTCCATGTACAAGATTACAAGCTATCAAACAAATATCAACAACTTGACAACACCAAGATCTAATTAATTAGTGCTTTTTTTTTTGCCTAAAATTAATTAGTGCTTCAAACAAAGAAAGTATTGATGACCACAGTTGATTGATAAAAATAGATAATTAAATAAATCATAACTTAAACTTACATAAGATGTTTATTTAACTATGATTACTTAATCAACCTATTTTCTACGCTAGTTTTATCAACCTACAATTTATTTTTTTTTTCCTTCGAACATATTCGACATAGAGAAATTCTTTAGCCGTTAATCCAATCTAAACAACAATTGATAAACCATTGAATCGTCCCATTTAATACATATTCGGTATCACATTAAAAACCACGATATGTTACTTTCCAAGGTGAAACCAAACACACTTTTAGCATATCCTATGGACAAAACTTATTGAAACATTTACGCTTACACTTTGATCAATTATGCATATTTAGTCCAAAGAATTTCTCATAAAACATAGTCATTAACATCCCTTGTTCCATTGAAGTCAACTTTCCCTCTGCCGTCGCTCCCACAAACAAAGTCAAGGTTGTAAAGCACAGGAATCATGGCCATCGAGCACAAGAAAACAAGCACAGGACCAAAGATCCAAAGAAGAAGAGGAAGTGCTGCGTAAAAAAGCCTATTTCCCACAGTGTTTAATATGGTTCCTTTCTCCAGAAGCTCTGTCAAGTACTGTGGGGTTATAATGGACTTTAGGTCTTGTGGAGTGGCCACGAGGATGCACACCTGGTTCAGAAACCTAATAGACAGAGTGTGACAGAAGAATGAGAAGAGGAAGATGGTGAGTATTGTCACGTACTTTAGGGACAGCATGAACTCGCCGTGGGCCCCAAAAACGGCATCGTTGAGAGGCTTCTTAATGCTGTAGGTGCTGCTTATCACGGCGGCCAGGCCAGCGGAGAGGAGGATGGATGTGGTGGCCATCAAAGTTGATCCCATTATCAGATTACGTAGGGTTTGCACTACTAAGATGGTGTTCTTTTCAATGTCCTTCATCAAACAAAAAGAAAACATTTTTTGTAAAATTAAAACACCTTTTATTAAATATTTAATTAAATATATCAAAAACAAAAATCTTTTGAGTTGTCCAAATCCAGGGTACTATTAAAAGAAGTCTTACATCTAGAAGATAGAAAATATTTTAAGAATATATAAAGTTTAGAGTGTGTTTAACCAAATGATTTAAGCCATTTTGATAAAATAGACCATCCTCAAGTATGATTTATATAAAGAGTTTAACGAGCACAGCAATCGATTTGCATAAATAAAGTTATATATATTTGGATTAAAATTAACAGGATAAAAAAGAAATAAAATTTCAATTCATATTTTTTTCTATTTTTTAAATTTATAATCAAGAAAAAATTATTTCGATATTCTATATATAACATGAAAAATTAACAAGCGGTACTATTCAAAGCGTGAATAATAGTATTATTATAATACGATTAAAAGATTTATTTTCTAGAGTCGGTGTAACATATGTGACCCATATTTTTAATTTGAATCCAAATCATAATGTATGTCTATTCCATTCAGATGAAATGGTACAGATATTACTATTTTTTTTCTTTCTATAGGTTGATAATTATAAAATGAATTTTTTTAATATTTTTGTTCATTTAAAATAAAAAAGTATGAAAATGTGATTAAAAATATAAAAAAATTAAACCGTTTATTGAATTAGATCTAGGGCCTCTTTATTTAAGATTAAAAAATAAATAATTTTTAGGCAGTTCAAAAATTTTATAACAAGAAATTTTTTCTATAGAGATTTTATAAAAAGCATATATTATTTTATGTTTGATTACAATAATAAAAAAATGATTGTTAGTTAGTTATTTTCAAATTTTATGATATATTTTTTGATTTTTGTCTTACAAAAATAATTTATCATTATATTATTTTAAAATTTTATAATATCCTTACATATCTCACCTCTTTAAAATACTCTCTCTCATTTATCATATTAGATTATTTTTAAAAGCTACCTATAGTAGCTTTTTAAAATAATCAGAAATATACTTTTTTTAATTTTGATTATTTTTAAAAATTTAAAAAAACATAACAAAAACTTATAAAATATATTTTTAAAAAAATAAATAACTTTTCATAAATAAGCTAAAACAAATGGCCCCTAATTGCTCCGTTGCTTGAAGCAAGATTATAGAATAAATTTACTCAAATTACCAAAAATGTTTCATCACGCCTATGAAATTTAACAGTCAAATTTCTCCCGCAAGTAATTATTATGCTCTTTTATCCTCTATATATATATATATATATGTTTTTTTAACATGGTTTATGAATTCAACATACATGTGAGTAGATAATATAATTAACTTATTATCGATTAAGTAGTTGTTGTCTAAAGCACAAGCTGCGCTACTAGAATAATGGAGGGCTCTGAATTAAAGATGGAGATGAACAAAACAATGGCGACCCACTTAAAGTTGAAACAAGAGATCTAATTTACTTTATACGATATGGTGGGATGAAACATGAAAGACATCATCTTTTTGTTTTATTCTAAATTTTATGGACCAGGACGAATAGATTTTTAAGGGATAATGAATGAAAACCAGACATCAAAAACAAGAGCAAGTGGAATCTTGATAACCCACTTTTGAATGAAAATGACGGTGTAACATCATATTCGCTTAATTAAAGGCTTTTCTTTTCCCACACAGTTGAAAAAAAAAAAATCCAAAACCTAAGCCAGCCAATTATATCGAGATTCGGTGATTCTTTGATGTCTGAGATTCTTAATTTGTTAACTCCCAAGTAAAGATGTTCATTTCTGTATGGCTTTCATCAGAATCATTTCGATATTGATTCTAAACTAAATACCACTAAAACTGTAAAGCAATATCTGAAGCATCAGCGATAAATATATATCTGAACCCTCACCGTGCTTGCTTTAACTTTTCCCCTCATGTTCTACTCTATAATTAATGTGTTTTTTTTTTTACCAAGTATTGTTTATACTTTGACGCACAAACTAGTCTAGAGTTATAAATTCTCATAACACAATAAAAAATGAGTTTTAGATTCCGTGAAGCAAATAAGTTACAGCATATAAATAAATAAACTAATCAAGGGGGTAAAAAGAAAGTGGATACAAAGCAATCATTCTTATACTGTAGTTGAACACTATGTACAGTAGATTAATGCAAATTTGAAAGAAAAAATCCATTGAGAAGAACGCATGTAGAACATGTTTATATATATATATATAGATGCTTCTTTATGTAAAGATAATAAGCAGATATAACTAGTGAAGTGCAGGAACACCAAAATTGAGGTGTGATTGTGAATAAGGAACACTGTAAGTCGTGTGTGCGGGTGCGCGCTTTCTCTTACCAGTCTATGTCAGAATTCACCAAGCTAAGCAGTCAAGAACAAAGAGTCTTTAGTTTTTTTGCTGCTATGACTTTGAGCTTTTAATTTTCAGTAGCCTAATGATATTAATGTTCAAGTTGAAAAAGATTCTGATAAACATCGTCATAGCAAACACTTCAACAAAACATCAGAACAAAATATTCTGTAAGTTATAGTACAGTTCAAAACAGAAGCATATGAAAGCCGTGATATCTGTTATATACGGAAACGCTCCTGCTACTAATATACTTAACTTCAGAAACTTGATAAGATTACCAAATTAGAAAAGCAACGAGAGCGATCAAGATCAGATATTAAGCAATCATACCTTCATCATGGCTGGAACCCAGAAGCGTCGGCCATGAGCGTTGATGCCGATGGTGGTGGAGAAGGGACTGGTTCGAACCTTATGCCATAACCAAACATGATAAGCAATGGTTATCACTACTCCTAAAGGCACCAACATTAAATCCAAATCATATTTCTTCCATTCCATGACTTTATTTAATCAAGTTCTTTCTCTCCTCCAGGGCTGTGTCTGTGTACTGTTTGGTGCTGCTTCGTCTGTGTTGGTGACGACGATGATCGGTGAGAGATTCTAATCTTATCACTTGAATACGAATATAATAAGCTTTGATGTCGTTAATGGAGGCTTAGCATGATCTATTTATAGACAAAATTCGTGCCCCATGAGATCATTAATTAAGGCAAGGAACTGCATCGATCATGTATTAGTGATAAGTTTAGGCATCATCTCTCTCTCTCTCTCTCTCTCTCGCCTTTTTCTGTTGTTTTCCTGCTTTTTTGTTTTCTTTAACTTTTTTGCTCCATGTCCATTCATCTTTGTGCCTTCACTTTTATTTTAAATTCCGGTTTCCTCTAGGAGAAAGGTAGATTATTTAAGTCCATCCTGCGACCACACACACACACACATATTATATACACAAAATTTGAAACTATGAGATCAATAAATTAAAGCAAGAAACTTATCATAATATTCCTCTGTTTAAAAGTATAGAAAGCATTATTAACTAAATCATATTTAGTAAGTTAGTTAATTTTTAAAAAATTGATACCAAGCATCTTTACATGTTTGTATTTATTTAGTTAATAAGGCGCCTCAATTAAGGGCAAAGAGTTGACTCATTTATTTATTAAGAATATTTTGGAAAAAAAACTTATTAATGGCACATTAAAAAACTACAAATACCTTATATTTTTAACATTTAATGAAATATGTCTTATATGTTTTAATGAACAGAGTAAATTTTAAAATAAGAATATAAACTTTGATCTTTATATATGGAAGCGCAACAGAGGTTCAGTATATCCATCTATAAATAAAATTCACCATAAAATTCAGACCCATGAAATCGTCAATTAACACACAAAAGAAATATCTTAATTCCTAACCTTCAAGTTATAAGTTTACAAGTCATTTCACTTGAATATGAATATAAACTTTGATTAATTATAAACGAAATTTGGACCCATGACATCATTAATTAAAGGAAAAAACTTATTCTTAGTTTAAAATATGAATATAAACTTTTATTTTATTCAGTTATTTTATTCAGACTTTGTGCGATTAAATTCAGATTCTCTTTTAGAAGTAGATATTCAGCATCCAATCCTTGAAGTTATAGAAATTTGATTTAGTCTTACACATCGTTATGCTAATTAAATATGTCTTAATGTAGTAAAAAGATTAAAATTATCAACACACACACATATGGCATTTACCACAAGACCACACATAGATTAATGAAAAAAGTGACATATATATAATTAATAATGATGAATATTTTGTAAGAATAATTTCCTGATGGCCAACAAAAGAAGAATACTGTCCTGTTATTGATAATTAGTTGAGCTAATTGGCATAAAAAAAATGAAAATGGCTAATTGGCGTAATTGATCAGTGATTTTATAATTGAGAATCTGCAAAGGTACTCGTATGGAATGAGTGCTCCTTCACATGTGGCCGTTATACTCGCACTAACAAAATGCTTAGCTTCGGGCGTTTAATATTTATCAAATTCTTCTGTCTAATGCCATACACGTGTGTCTGTTTTTCTATTGTCAATCTCGATGCGTCATTTTGTGTTTTATTGTAACTTGCAGATATATATGCACACAGCAAACTTAAAAAACAATTAATTGCAAACGAATACTGCATTGTTAATTAATATCATAACATTGGCAATGCTCCGTCTCGATGATTTTAAATCCCACGGATTGCTAATGGGCAATAAACTATGTTCAGGCCTCATGTTTATTTTTTCCTATGATACTCCCTAATGTGTCATTATTTTATTTTACTTTTTTTGGTAAGAATGTGTCATTATTTTTATATATATGTTCCTCTCGATCTCTAATGTAAGATTCTTTATTTAAAATATTAATTTTTTAAATGTTCTTTGTTTTGATATTTGGAAAAATATGTCTGCAGGTTTTTATAGTTTTAATTAATTTTAAATAGGATCTCTACAGTCTATTTTGTTTTAATTCAACCCTCATAGTTAAAGCCCTTAAATTTTTCCTTTTAAAAAAACAAAATTCAGAACTTTTATATTTTTATTAATGATTATATGACTTTAATATTAATTACATAATTTTTGTAACCCAAAATTTATATAATTAAATCGTCTTCTAAATATTTTTATACATATAGAAATTTTCATTAAAAATAATAAAAAAGAAAATGTTTATTAAATTCAGTTTTATTTTTTTGATTTTGGCTTAAAGTATTAGACTAAATTTTATGTAAACTCCATGAATAATTTTATTTTGTGAAATTTAATAATTCATTATTAATTTTAATATTCAAGAGTTAACATGGGACCTAATTTAAAATTGAGTGAAACTAAGAACCTGTAGATATATCTTTCCTTGATATTTTTCAGTAACTAAACAATCTTTTAACTAATGAAAGAGTAATTTTAAAAATACTAATGAATTGTAATTAAATTAATTAATTTAGACAAAGGTTTTTAAGGTCTTATACAAAGACTAAAGTAAGTAATTCCCTCGACCCACCAACCCCCCCCCCCAACACACACACGCGCGTCACTTTATAGAAAGAATTAATACTCCTTTTTATAAGTCACTTTGTAACAAAAAAAATAAGATAATGCAACTTTTAGTTACTTACGTTTGGTGAAATTATTGATTTAATCCTTTAAATTTAATTTTTATTATTTCAGTCTTTAACATTTATTTCAGTTATCATGTTAGTCCTCTAAGGTTTATGAGACAAATTACACCTCAAAAAAGGCTGACATGAAAATTAAGTTGCTGATGTGAAATAAAAATGGATAAATTAATACGCGTAAGCCAAAACTCCATATCCTAATATTGCTGATCCATGATTAATTTTTTTATTTTATAATTCCTAATTTTTCATTCTAATTTTGAATTATGGATTTTTGAAAGTTTCAAATACCTTACCTCTTGCGAATGCCAGCATGATTTGAAAAGGAGAAGAAGGCTTCTCATTAAGGACAGAGGACGCTGGGTTGCAGAGAGCCTATAGTATCAACACCAACGCTTCTGCCTTCATTGCTAGATTTTATGCCACCTAAGTCGCGAACTTGCTTCTTAATTAGTTTCCCCTATCCTTATTTCCGATCCATATATATATATATATATATATGTGTATGTATGTATGTATGTATGTATGCATGCATGCTTCACCAATCCAAACCAATACATGGAGACGTTGCCGGCGAATGCAAAGAGAGTGTAGAGACGTCGTGCTCGAGCACTTTTTCAGTTCTGCACACCATTTTTTTAATTTGCTTTCCATTTTCTTGAATATGTTATTTTTATTCTAATTATCTAATTAAGTCAGCATTTTTCTTTCCACGTTATTAATCTACATGGCTGCCACCTCATCATTCCATTAGCCACATCAGCATAACTTAATGATGTTAATTTTGTCACAAGATTAAGGATTACAAGGATAAGTTATGAAACTTTAAGGACTAGAATGATAAAAAATTAATGTTAAAGAACTAAATTGATGACTCCCAAATAAAAAGGACTAAAAATTGCATTATCCTAAAAAAATATGGGTCATTAGTTACTTACTTCCAATTTTAACATTTCGCAATTTTATATGAGTAAAGTAAACAGTTATATGTGAGAGAAAAATATTTTTAAAGGTATACTCCATGATGTATGTAACAAGCGCAAATTGAGAAATTTATTTCTTTTTTTTTTAACACAATTTCAATTATTTAACTTCCTCTTCTTATTAATTCAGCATATAGTTGGAATGAAAAGTAATTTATAAATAAAATCAGAGAGAATAATACGAAAATATAGCGAGAATAATAATAATAATAATAACTTTTATGGTTTTTTTTTTTTTGGTTTTCTTTTCCAGAAGCAACCCTCATAAGTTAATTCAACATCTCCTGTGGATTCTTCAATTAATACGCTAATAGCCTAATACTAATTATCCGTAAGCCCTCTTTTTATGATTACTAAAGCATATATAGTGTATTTTAAATAAAAAGATAAGGATAAAAAAGGGGATTTGACCCTATTTTGTGATATTTTTCTGAAAGCAAACGTGCATGATTGGAGAATTATATGTAGTGTAGGTGTTTTGATCCATTAATTTGTATATTCCTTCTTTATGGATGAAAATGTATGATGTGATCACTATGAAACTATTTAAACATTGACAAAGCAAAGGTTTTGTACTGTTTGTAATTAACACAAAACTTTTTTTGTTTGTTCGCCAAAATGCTCCTAAAAGATGCATAAATTGTCTGTAAACATTCTCCTAATTTGGCCTTGTATATCTTTCGACAGCATGATGCAAAAATATTTAATTTTTTTTATCAAAATATCATTAGGGTAAATAAAGAGTGAAAAAAAAATCTTTACACACATCATGAGTTTTTTTGTCATGGAAAAATAAATGGTCACACATACTACACACATATAATGTAATAAAAATCACTCAATGACACTCTCTTTATTTCTTGATATATCATACTCCTCCACTGCACTTGCTCGCTCCTAACTTAGAGCATTTCTGTTTATATAACATATCATGCGTTTGTGTGTTATAAAAAATAAATAGTTATGTTACTCCATTTATTAAAAAATATAAAATATTTTTAATCAAATCATACATTCCAATAATTAAGTTAGTTAATTGTTTTTAAACTTACATTATTTTTTTTATGTTTGTCTTTATTTAATAGGGTATCTCACCTAATGAGCAATTTGGACTGTCTAGATTTTTAATCTGAACGGTCTAGATTTATCAATTTTATTTTTATATTTTAATATATATTTATTAAACTATAAAATATAAAATTATAATAAAATTATTTTATTATCAATCTAGACAATATAAATCTAATTTAGGTAATGTAATTTAATATTATTTTTTAAAAAATTATAAATTAATTATTCATATATACTTTGGACAGACTGGATTCAAAGTACATCTAGATAATCAATTTATAAAATTTTTTTAAAAAAATTAATATCAAATTGAACCACCTAAGTTAAATATATATTATCTAAATTGATAATAAAATAAATTTATTAAAATTTTTTAATTTTTATTATAAATATAAAATTAAATTAAAAAATAAATTTTATAAAATTTAGACAGCCCAAATGCTAAGTTTTGATGAACACTGAAAT